GTCTCTGCCGAGTGTGATTTAGTGCAATCTCACTAAGTGACGCGGCAAGTCGTCATTCACGAAATGCAATCTACACGGGGTAAAGAAAAAAAACGCATGGCACGAGGTCTCGTGACCCGCAGCCCCCCCCTCTCTCACCCAAGGCGACTCTTCCTCGCGTTGCTGTGAACGAACGCTACCTGATGCGCAAATTAGGAAAATGTAAAACTCCCCGGTAGCGCTGCGACTGTTGGTTGTCCAGAACAGACCGTACAACGTGGAACGACGCAATGCCCCGATGCACAAATACGAAGGAGACGTCACGGCGATGATGACACACCCATGATGCGGTTATCTGGCTTGACCACCTGCATGTGAAATTGTCTGCTGCTGTTGTTGTTGTTCTGCATCGGCATCAGTCGTACGAAAGAAACAAAGAAATAAAAGCGTTACCCGATGCACAGAATCACGCGTGCGTGTGAGGTCACCACCACCTCCCACACACTTGGGCCCCGAAGCAGGCCGTGTGGCAATTACATTGCAGTGGATTTAATTTTATTAATTTTTTTATCAAAACATACTTTGAGAAACATACAATTTTCTAAACGGGATTTTACGAACCGCATTATCATCGCGTGGCGGGAGGGAACAACGGAAACAGTAAGAAAATAACAAGATAAGCGAATTAATTATGTACGAGAGACCTCCCATTGTACAATGGACTACAGCGACCACCAAAAGCCCCCCAAAGGGCTCCAGGCCATTTTTTTTCACATCCACCGCATTGCGATGGCTTTCCTCGCCATTTAATTAACGCCACCAATAATTTACAGGGGTGGAGCGGTGGCGCATCGGTTAGCGCACGGTTGCTCTGAACTCGGCGTTCCGAGATTGCACTACTCCGCGCGTTGGATGCCGGTCGGATCGATTCAGATATCACTCGCCACTGACGTCAGCTGTGGCCAGGATTCAAACTCTGGTCGTCAGGTTCACGGACTAAGTGCTCTCCCCACAGTACCACCAGCTCCTAATGATAAGAGTGATTTTAATGTTAAAAATGTTTGGCAATAACATGCTTTACTCAACCGTGGTCAACCGTCGAGACTCACAGCTCATCTGCAAGGGTCCCTTAGCAAGATGGCAACCATATGTCAGTTTCACATAGAATTTACAAAATGTAAAAAAATACAACACATTAACATTGCATGCCAGCATAATGTATCATCTGTGGCATTGTCCATACTCTGCAATGCGTTCCGTGCAACGGACACTAACATACGAGCTGTCCACCACCCTCAATGGAATTTTTTTTATCAGGTGAAATATTTTAACGGTTAAAAATAAATCATTTTCAGAAATGCACATTTGTAAGTGGAAATAATGGCGTGAAAAGGCTTAAAATGTGTACCGGCAAGACGTGAAGTGGCATAATGGGCACATATTGTTTGGACATTTGTGAAAAGGAGCTTTATAGCTCATTGTATTCCTCCAGAATATATAAATATTCTGATTCTGTTTACTCCTCAGGGAAGTCGACTGCAGTTTGCTTGTGCTCTGCATTAACACCAACATGCTGCCATATTGATAAGTGTGTGTGTGTGATTATCATAGTGACAATTTCTCCCCCACCACCTACCCCCCCCCCCCCCCAATTTGTTTTTATCTACCTCTCAATTGTTGAAATAAATAATCATTATTACACACGTATGGTCACGTAGGTCAGGTCACAGGCAATGTGCCAGTCGGCTCTGAAATAGGGAAATAATGAGCACACATCAATACGCTGCGTAGAAAATCCAATCCTTGGTGCTGCAATAATCATGCGCGGTGCCATTAAGAATATTTTTTTAATTGGTTACGTTTCTTCTTCTAGGTAGGAGGCGTATATTCCCCTCTAGGTGAGAGAGAAAATCCCACTTCCTCTCGCCAAAAAAAATTACACATTTTGTTTGCATGTGGGGAGTCACGCGGTAGGCCCCAGGGTGCAGGAGTGCGTGGGTGATATCGGGATGCGAGTGTGGGATGGCGGAGGAGAAGGGGGAGGGGGAGAAGCCGCCGTGTGTGGAGGAGATGTAACAACATGAATCTATAGCGACTGCGATTGACGAGTGTCGTCTGCGAATCGAGGGGCAGCCCGTGGGCTCCGAGTGGTGAGCGTTGGTGGTTGTGTGTAATTGACGTCGGTGGTAGGGTTTAGGCTACGCGGTGGGGCGATGTTAACTCTCTCGCCAGGCATGCAGGTCGTGGGTTCGATCCTGACCTTGATACCTGTACATTTGGAATTTGCGTGTCTCTCTGTCCCCATGGTCGCGTGGATTTTTCGCCTGGTCTTCCGGTTTTTCCCCTCCACATTTAGAATCGACATGACAGTATTTGTTGCTGCTAAGCCACTTCGTTGAGAACTATCATTTGTGGCCAGGTAGCTTCTGAAAAAGAGCTCTGTAGCTCAGTGGAGCCTTACATGGTGAAATAAAAATAAAATAGTTTCGTTTAGCGGTTGAAGTAAGTGGTGAGCGTGATTGGTGAGTGCAAGTGGAGAGTTGCCCATGTGCAGTCGTGATTATTACCAGCGGTGAGTTACCGAGTCGAATGGCCCCATTTGTGCGTGAGTGAAGGATCTTAAGTGCTCAATAAGTGGCGAGCGCTAATTCTTACTGATTGATATAATAACAATAATAACAACAACGAATAATTGATTTTATTTACGGAAATTCTAACTGCTGAGATTTCAGCTGTTCAAATTATGTTTTTACATATATATTATGAAAGGAAAACAAGCGTGGATTTTTTTTAAACCACAAATTGCGTTTATTTGCTAACACGGAGCCAAGCCAACGGTGCCCTCGTGGTGCTGCCATAGCGACGTGAAGGGCGACTCATGAACAGGCTGGAAGTTGCCACGCAAATGGAGTTGTCCACTTTGCCGAAAGGAATTATTTCGTACCTTGCCAAAACTCCGTCTTTAAAGAGCCAAGGAATCGCTTTAACTCCGCAACACAGGAGCACGATTGCATCCCCTCGCATGCGCGCGTGTCTCTGTGTGCGTATCCACATGGTTCGCTCCACCCAACCGTCCTCCATCACCTTCATCCCTCTGCCAGATTCCCCCAGTGGACACACGACCGCGGGCGTGTGTTCTTACGGCATCCGTGCTTCTGGCTTCAGGTCATCTTCTGCGATACCAACATCTAGACTCCATTGGCGGCCCCCCGAGCCAGTGTTGGAAATTCCACGTTCCCATGGCGGTGACCAGCCTCTCGTATTCTTGGTTCTTTTGGTAAAGTCACGTAGAAGGGACACAATAAAATAATACAAATATAAAACGATAAAATTCTCACGACGTTTCGACTGCAACACAAGCAATCATCATCAGGTGTGAAAACCACAGCAAGAAAATTAGAAAAAAGTGGCGGTTTTTTTTAACGTTAGCACCACGGAGAGCGATTTGGCAGTTATTCAGATGGACGAGTCCATCTATGTTCGGAAAAGAGGAGGGGGAGACGAAAATAATGGATGCGGTCTGAAAGCCACCATAAGCGTGAACAATCAGTTAAGACCTGAAATGGTTTATCAAATCCTTCCAATGATTGCTTAGCCAGAATCCATCTTCTCGGTTGAAATTGTCTCTGTGTTTGTATATGTGGATAGCCTCATGAACTAATCTCTCATGGTAGCCAGATGGCTTGCAAAGAACCTCTGTCTTGGAGAAGTCAATGTCATGTGAGCCTACTGAATTATAACAGTGATCTGCCACGGCCGAGGTGTTGGTCCTACCGTGTTTTAGGTCTGCTTTGTGTTCACGAATGCGGTCCGAGACATGTTGTTTGGTTTCTCCAATGCAACGACTACCACAGAGGCAACTTAGTTTGTAGACGCCAGGGTACTGTATGTCCGGAATCACATCTTTTACAGATGGAACCAGATCACGGATTTTATGTAATGTGTTGAAACGGACCTGGATCTTGTGTTTATTCAAGATTTTGGAGATTTTTGTTTGTGATCCCCGCAATGTAGGGTAAAGTGATTGTTTTGAAAGGCTCCTCAAGAGGGTTCTTTTTCATGGTTGGAGTGATAGATTTGCAGATTGTGTAGTCGGAATAACCATTAGCCTTAAGAGCTCGGTGTACGTGCTTGAGTTCACTGGCTATGTGTTCCTGGACGGATATGCATTGGGCTCTATGGTGCAGAGTCTTGATGAGGGAATTCTTCTGGGATGGATGGTGGTGCTAACGTAAAAAAAACCCGCCACTTTTTTCAAATTTTCTTGCCGTGGTTTTTACACCTGATGATGATTGCTTGTGTTGCAGTCGAAACGTTGTGAGAATTTTATTGTTTTATATTTTTATTACTTTATTGTTTCCCTTCTACGTTACTTTACTGAAAGAAGCAAGAATATGAATCCCTGCAGTCACGAAAGCTTTAAATCAAAATTCAGCCTCTCGTAGTTATAATTTATGTCACGTAATCTGCAGTGTTGTATAGATGCAACTGATTAGTGAAAGACAAATTAAACCGCGATAATATAGTGCATTGATAGTAATAATAATAATACTGTGGGTGTAGCAGTGCCACAGTGGTTAGCACTATGAGCCTAGGGACCTGTGTATTATTCCCAGTCACGGGCAACGTGGGTGGCGAGTGATATCTGAACCAATCTAGGGCCCATTTACTTCTCCAGCCCCCATAATCGACATGGTGTGAGGAGGCATTCATCCATTGGCCACGGAGCTATAAATGATCACTCATATTTATTTTTCTATTTATACGGCATAGTACCAGGTTGTCGCATTCATGAAATGGACGAAACACATCGCCTTGGTGATTCGCCCCAGTGTGGGTGACAGACGCAATCGGCACTTTGATTTTTACAAAAGCCTGGCTGAAAAAGAGCATTCATCAACACAGACTCAAAGGCAGGCTTATAAGAACAAAATGTAACATTGCAAAAATTAAAATGTTCTTAGGGGCTTTTCGGTGGAAAGCATTCAAATGAAATCCGTTCTAACGTTTTATATTTGCAGGAGATGCGGTCGATGTTTTTGCAGTTTGGAGCTTCGGTGCAGCAGCATTCCAACATCCTGATGCGCATTCTGGAGGAGTACGACTGGAACAGCTTTTCCATCATCACCAGCTTCTACCCCGGCTACCACGACTTTGTCAATCACATTAAGCACATCACAATCAACAGCTACTTCGGCTGGGAAATTCAGACCATCGTCTCCATCGACGTGAAGAAGGACGACGACATCGCCATCCGCATGCAACTGAAGAAGGTGCACACGCAGGTCATCGTGCTGTACTGCTCGAGGGACGAAGCCGAGTTCCTCTTCCACATGGCAAACAGCGTCGGCCTCATGGGGCCTGGCTTCGTGTGGCTGGCCGCTGGCCTGTCGGTGGAGGACGGCGAAATCATTCCCCTCGGCTTCCCCATCGGTCTCATCACGGTCGCGTTCAATGACCTGGACTACAGTTTCTCGCAACGCATGGCGGATTCGGTGGCCATCATCGCCTCGGCTGCCCAGCGCACCTACCAGGATTACGGTCACATCCCCGAGGCAAAGACGGGCTGCGACTCGCAGCCCGACGAGGTGCCAGAAGAAAACAATATATTTTACGAGTAAGTGAGCAGAGAGCGTGCATGCTGCCACGGTCTCGTAAGCCGTTGATCACCGCCCGTGAAAGCATTACACCTCCACTAGTTAATGTCGTTCCCTCGAAACGTGAGAGAATCAGTGCTTTAAAATCTCACGTAAATGTCCACGTCGTTTATGATTAATGACACGCGTGTGAAAACCCAGTGTGGCGCAGCACCTCTGGAGTACGTGCACAGTGAATGTTAAATTGCTATACCCGTGTGTACAGGTTGAGACTTGCACGCGCATAGGCTCATTTGTGCCCTCATAGACCGCCAAGCGTGCACACGAATTCATGAGACAGACCTTCACAATTGGCCACAAGCTGGGGTTCCACAGTCAAATCATCATTATCCCCCTTCCTGTCGCTCTCTTGTACTGATTGTGTCATTAATCAGGTAAGTATTAATGAGATATTATCTCACGCGATGTGTTATTTTTTTATATAGAAATACAGACGTAGCCATAGTATTTATAAGAGTCCACGATGGTGGGATTTCCGCTATTTCAATCGGTTTGAGTGTCACTTGATTTCAAATATATATTTGAAAATACCGATGTCATATTTGGATTCAACACACCTCAACAATAATAATAATAATTTCATTTTTATGTAGCGTCATTCATGCAATTGCATCCCACAACGCTGCACATCAATTAGCCAGTCCTTTACACAGATAATACAAAAATAAAACCCCCACTACTTAGCAAATAAATAAAAATGCATACATAAATAATGAGAAAATAACTACACATCACTAGAAAATGGTCATCACCGAGAAAATAAATCAAATAAATCCGTATGCTTAGACAAACCTTCATTAGCCTGGGTTGAAATTATTTTTAAAAATATATATTTTAAAACGTATCATGGTTTGCTTCCTACATTTGGGAGGCCTCGAATTTGACAATCTCGCTTTTCTGATTTTAGTAACGTAAGAAAGTAAACAAAAAATGTTCCAGATTTCAGCTTCCTACCCATTTTAGAAGAGCGTGATTGTTACTATCACACACTCACTCACAACCGTATATATATTCGATTTGTTTTCTATGACTGTCCAATACAACACCGTTGATATTTCCATATAGGAAGTCAGACATTTGCGGAGGAAAACAGGAAAGCCTTGAGCCTGGAAACGAAAAATAAACTATTTTTTTATTTTACCAGGTAAGGCCCACTGAGCTATATAGCTCTTTCTCAGAAGTCATTTGGCCTCAAATGATAGCTCAACGACGTGGATTATCACGTGGACATTTATAGCAGCCAAATACTCTAAACTCATGTTTCTAAATGTGGAGGGAAAAACCGGATGACCCGGAGAAAAATCCACACGATTACAGGGAGAACATTCAAACTCTAAATATACAGGCGTCAGGGTCGGGATAAAACCCACGACCTCCTGTATACCAGGCGAGGTAGTTGACATCTCGCCGCGGCGCCCCTGGACTTGAACAGCGTAGAGGATTAAGCACAACTAATATAATCACAGGCATTGCACGGTAGAGTGTCGTAGTGATTACTAACACAAGCCGCGATGGTCATTGATGCGGAAGAATGATTTGTACCGCCGTTTCAGTGTTAGGCAACGGTCACTGACGCAGCCCGGGATTCATTCGTTCCTCGTGAAGTTTAGCGGCGGTGGTGTTGACGTTGGCGTCTTAAGGTGCTGGCGGAACGGGCTCCTCTCTGGTTGCATTGAGTTTTCGTGTAATGGCAGAGAGCCAGCCGCTCAACGGCCGATGACATCCACACCAAGGGAATGGCACCCTGGGTAATCGTGGCCTTGCCGAAGGCTGATGAGCTTCCAGTTTTCCATTAAAGGGATCCTAAAATATACATTAACTTATAAAATACTTTATAAATAAATAGTTTGCGTTAAAGATTTAAGCGGACTCACCCCAATCTTGTGTGTCGTTTGTTAACCTGTCAATCACTTGGTATCATGGGAAGAATTGTGGATTCCATTGTAATTTTGTTGTACTGTAGTATAAATAGTACGATTCACAGATTACAGACGGATGGGCAAGAGGAGTTTGACCATCGCAAATTCCATCAGAAGACAATCATCCGCAGAGAGACGCACATCCAAACGGGAAACAAAATCAATAATTTGACTTTCAACTGGTCATAGAGCAACAGCACGCCTGATCTACAGCACTTGAGGCAGCGCTGTTTGAACATAAGGTTGAAACAACGCTTTCCAACTTAGAATGAGGGAATTGCCTCCCCATAAAATGTTAACGGTCCTGTTGATTTAGTTCATTTTGTTTAATCAGGCAAGAACTCAAAGAGGACAGGATATAATCTCATTCATAAGAGTGACCCCGGGTCACCAGAATGACAAAAATAAATATATAAAAACTAAACACAGCAAGGATAATAAAACAAGGTCAGAGAAGAACCACCGCACTGCAGGAGAAATCAAAATGACCGCGAAAATGTCCATTAATATTCATGACAATAAATGCTTTCCTGTCAGAGACGTTGTTGGCTCGGTCATATCGCATGTATTTTTAAAAGCTTCATTGTAAAAATAAGTTTGAAAAAAACATGAAGTTAGGGAAATCATTATTGCGGTAACACACCACATTTATGAAAAATGACCCAAATAGCCGCAGAGGCAAGTCAAGTGGTGTTACATGGAGGGGAAGTATGGTCAATTCAACCGCGTACAAACCTGTCAACCCCTTATCAGTGCCTACCTTATTACAAACCAATTCAGACATTATTGGTCACCCCGTGCCCCTTATAAATCTCAACGTTTTATCCTACAAAGTCCCAACACAAAGAGACAAAACATTTTTTTGCCCCTATTGAAACGGCTGTACGCCCTGAAAACGCAATTTCCCTGTACACGAATACGGGTAAACCGTATGGGTTTGACAGGTATGCGCTTAACTGGCACGGTGTTAGGAGGCCTTCATCCAGCAGTGGATTTACAAAGGGTTTGTAATTTAAGAGAATAATACGATTTTTTCTCAGTGTGGCCCTATCGACGATGGCTACTGTTGTTTATGTTTGGCAGCGGCCAAGCCCGGGAGTGGCCACGTGGCAGGCTCCAAATGTGGAGTGGAATTGTTCCCATCCAAAAGCACGTGGCACTTGTCTCGTGAAGCTCCATTCGCGCGTCACGAGACAATTAAATCAGATTTGAGACGCGGCAGTTGAAATTGATTCCAATTGTTTTGTGTCACTGGAGGTAGTTTTGTTAATATTTTTTTATTTTTTTAACGATGCAAATATAATGCACGGATTCAATATAGTCAATTCCAAGGTGATACTGTTTTACAAATGTGTTAAGGATGGTATGGTACTATATGTACGTAGTGGTCGATCGCTGCTGAAAAAGAAGATAATAGCTCAGTGGGCTTTACTTGCTAAGATAAAAAAAATAGTTTAGTTTCACAGTATTTCAATATTGTTTTTTTAAGTTGTTTGTTTACCTTTCCGAAACATTTGCACTCCTATCGTGTTTTTTTATTGGTTGTTGTTGTTTATATTCTTTGGGTCTTTCGGTAATGTCACTTAGATAGAAAAAATAATAACAATAAAATAATAAAAATAAATACTAATGAAAATTAAGTGATTCTTTGGGTGTTTCGGTAAAGTCATGTAGATAGAAAAAATAATTATATCTACGTGACTTTACCGAAATACACAAAGAATATGAATTCCTGCAGTCACAAAAGCTTTAAGTCAAGAGGTTGTTGTTGTAACGTTTTTACCCCATGCCCCTACTAGGACGTCTGTGAAAGAGAGCTTTATAGCTCATCGGATTCCTCCTCCAGGAGAAATAAATATTGTAAATTCTATATTTATTTTTATTATGACGACAGTGATGATGATATTATATTCTTGGTTCTTTCGGTAAAGTCACGTAGAAGGGAAACAATAAAATAATAAAAATATAAAACAAAATTCTCACGACGTTTCGACTGCAACACAAGCAATCATCATCAGGTGTGAAAACCACAACAAGAACATTTGAAAAAAGTGGCGGTTATTTTTAACGTTAGCACCACGGATAGCGATTTGACAGTTTGTTCAGATGGACGAGTCCATCTATGTTCGGAAAAGTATGGGTAGCTTTCCTGCTTACCTGAAACCGGATTCACACCACCATCCATCCCAGAAGAATTCCCTCATCAAGGCTCTGCACCATAGAGCCCAATGCATATCCGACCAGGAACACATAGCCAGTGAACCAAGCACGTACACCAAGCTCTTAAGGCTAATGGTTATTCCGACTACACAATCCGCAAAGCTATCACTCCAACCATGAAAAGGGACGCTCTTGAGGAGCCTTTCAAAACCATCACTTTACCCTACATTGCGGGGATCACAAAAAAGATCTCCAAAATCTTGAATCAACACAAGATCCAGGTCCGATTCAACACATTACATAAAATACGTGATCTGGTTCCGTCTGTAAAAGATGTGATTCCGGACATACAGTACCCTGGCGTCTACAAACTAAGTTGCCTCTGTGGTAGTAGTTACATTGGAGAAACCAAACGACATGTCTCGGACCGCATTCGTGAACACAAAGCAAACCTAAAACACAGTAGCACCAACACCTCGGCCGTGGCAGATCACTGTTATAATTCTGTAGGTTCACATGACATTGACTCCTCCAAGACAGAGGTTCTTTGCAAGCCATCTGGCTACCATGAGAGATTCGTTCATGAGGCTATCCACATATACAAACACAGAGACAATTTCAACCGAGAAGATGGATTCCGGCTTAGCAATCATTGGAAGGATTTGATAAACCATTTCGGGTCTTAATTGATTGATCACGCTTAAGTTGGCTTTCAGACCGCATCCATTATTTTTCGTCTCCCCCCTCCTCTTTCCCGAACATAGATGGACTCGTCCATCTGAGCAAACTGTCAAATCGCTCTCCGTGGTGCTAACGTTAAAAAACCGCCACTTTTTTCATATTTTCTTGTTGTGTTTTTCACAACTGATGATGATTGCTTGTGTTGCAGTCGAAACGTCTTGAGAATTTTATTGTTTTATATTTTTATTATTTTATTGTTTCCCTTCTACGTGACTTTACCGAAACAACCAAGAATATGAATCCCTGCAGTCACGAAAGCTTTAAATCAATGATGATGATGTTACGACGCATGAATTCTCGCCGTTGCAGGTATTTGATTAATGTAAGCTTCTGTATGTATTTTATGATGTTGACGACGACGATGATGATGTGAATTCTCACCGTTGCAGGTATTTGATGAATGTAAGCTTCTGTATGTATTTTATGATGTTGACGACGACGATGATGATGATGATGATGTGAATTCTCACCGTTGCAGGTATTTGATGAATGTAAGCTTCTGTATGTATTTTATGATGTTGACGACGACGATGATGATGATGATGTGAATTCTCACCGTTGCAGGTATTTGATGAATCTAAGCTTCTGTATGTATTTTATGATGTTGACGACGATGATGATGGTGATGTGAATTCTCACCGTTGCAGGTATTTGATGAATGTAAGCTTCTGTATGTATTTTATTATGTTGACGACGATGATGATGATGTGAATTCTCACCGTTGCAGGTATTTGATGAATGTAAGCTTCTGTATGTATTTTATGATGTTGACGACGATGATGATGATGATGATGTGAATTCTCACTGTTGCAGGTATTTGATGAATGTAAGCTGGCACGATAAAGACCTCTCGTTTAAACGCGACGGCTACCTCGCCAATCCTCCCATGGTGGTGAAAGTTCTCAACAAAAAGCGCACGTGGGAGAAGGTGAGCTGCTCCTCCTCCACTTTGTCGCGTCCATCCGCACCAACTGGATACACGGTTACAAACGACCTCTCTGAAAAAAATAAGAATAGCTCTTACCCTTTCTGGCGATAAAACAGGAGATGTTAAGATGTTGAAACACCAAATAGATACATTTGGCAAGGAATCAAGTTCTCTCTCTCTCTGTGAGCGACATCAATTCCTCTAAGACGTTGGTGATTGTCCACTTCCTTCCGTCAGAATATGTATTCATCCTCGAGGAATCCGGTGAGCTGTAGCGCTCTTTTTCACGGACGTCCAGTGGTTCCATTCACCTCTCTTTCTGTGATATTTACTCGAGAGATTTGAATCAGATACTCCTCCAAGTCTGCCTCCAATCGTTCAAATAGCTTTTTGGTGTAACGCAATTCGCTCTCGTCCACGGATTCAATAAACGCACAGGCGTATGAAACGTTTGAGTGAATCGCAGCTGACGTTGGCTGACTATGATATACCGCTTATATTTGCTAATTCTACAAGTAATGGCTGTTGTGCACCAGTTGTTAATGATGATGATGATAAAATCACGGTAAGGGTGAAAAATGCTCACCTCATTAAAACATCCTCATGGTGAATACACCTGTCAAACATGGGTGTACGACTGGAGCGACGCCTATCTTGTGCTGCCAAAGCTTCTGTGATGCATATCTTGGTAGAATAAAACAAAGAGTTCAGTTTAGAGTGATTTTGCAGGTAATTTCTCAGCATTGGGGGTGAGGTTTTGGCCCAAAAGCAGTTCCCATGTGTGTTGTGGGTTTAGCTCTGGGAAGAAGCCAGAGGACACGGAGGAAGCCCCATGCCAAACACGGGGGAGTACAGAGAGAGAACTTCCACTCAGGGATTCACCCGAGTTAGGAATCGAACCCAGCCCCTGTCCAGCTGCGAGGCGCGATCGTTACCACTGCCTCCACCTTGTGTAGTTTATATATACAGTATATAAGTACATACGCACATGTACGTTCGTATTTAAATAGCCATCAGATTATTTTTCCGGTTGTTCTCTCAAATGTCCAGCTCTTTTGACCCCCGTACCACATGGCAGGCGTTGTTACTCTCGCCTCAGACACCCGTCTCTAAAACATCTCAGGTCTAATTCTAGATTTGAAGCTTTCGTGACTGCAAGGATTCATACTCTTTGGTTTTTTTCGGTAAAGTCACGTGGGTAAAATACAATTTTAAATAAAATAAGACAGCTAAATTAAATCACGACGTTTCGGAGGCAACACAAGCTTCCGTCTTCAGGTGCAACAGTCACAGCAAGATAGCTTGCTTGTGTTGCCTCCGAAACGTCGTGATTTAATTTAGTTGTTTTCTTTTATTTTACATTTTATTTTACCTACGTGACTTTACCGAAAAAACCAAAGAGTAAATCTCACGTCTAGCTTCTTGCACTCTTAGAGAAACGATTTACGCGGTCCATAAAACCCCACCGATGCTGCTCCACAATGCCCCGCGCGACTACGAAGATCTGCCTTCGTTCAGCAATAAAACACGGTTCAGGGTTCAGGACGCAGAGCGATGCCTAACAGCGTAATGATTTACACACTCGGGTGTCGTAGCATTAATTCACAATCAATAATGCACTGCCCTTTGATGAATCGCTGCTGATTGAGGCCTAATCACGTCGTGTTGGTAGCCCATGGTGGTTGTTTGACCATACTTCATCTCGCTCGTCGGTGCATCTTGATGGTGCTGGCAGGGAGGATTCTTGAGCCAGTTTAGGTGATCGCTGGATTCATAGCGAAGTGCAGCTGCTCATACCCATTGTCATATTCTGTTTAATTCGTGCGTTGTTGTTTGCGTGAGTTTAATTCCCTTCCAGAAGCCACATCATGCAGAATTCATTAAAAAAGTACACATGGAAACAATAATAACGACATGATATGTAAATGTGGTAATTTCACCAAGCCGCACCGACCAGTGTTGTGAAGTATGGTCACGTAATCCTGCCCCACCCCTCCATGTACGTGAATTGATGATGTAGTGGATAGATACATTGTGGCTGTTGACGATTGACGATGATATGCGGTTGGCTACTTACGGTGCGAAAGATGTTCAAGATACATATTGTTTTCAAGTTATAGTATTTTCATATTCATATAAATGTGTCGAATTCAACTAAATGTCATTCTAAATTGCAGAAAGTTAACAACGTGTGTGTGGCCTGCAGTCATGTCCGATGGTCTTTACCATACCTGTGAAACGCTTTCACAATTAGAACTTTCAGCATCCAATTACAAGACAAAATTATTTCCATTTGATTACGGCACTGCCAAAAAAAACTGCTCTGGGCACGTGCAGTTTAGTTACAAAATCTCTACATCAGTACAAATCAACGCAAGCCTCCCGTACGTCACGTGACTTGTGTGTGACCACGCCCGCCCCCTTTGTGAAAACAGACGCTGCTCCGTGCAGATCTCTCCTGCTTGCTCCTTCCTTCTCTCTCTCCCTCTCATCATCTCTCTCCTCTTATCTCCCCCCCCCCCCTTCCTGCCCGGCTCTCCTTCCCTCTTCCTGCTGCTCATCTTGAGCCCGCTTTGAACTGTCTTGAGGACTTACATCCTGGCTTCCCTTCCATTTTCCATTCCCCTTTTCTCTATCCATTCGTGATATATCATTGACTCCCCTTGCTGTGGTGATGTGCCACTGGTAAACAGTGTTCACACACTGTTATGTGGGTGCCGTATAAGCATTCTGACAAGTTTTAATTCGTCGAATTCTGCATTAATTCGCTTGACATCGTATTCAAAGTGATGTGCAAGTGCGTGCGTTGAACTTGTTTCGCGTCGTACGTAGCCAACCGTGCTAATCGGAGGTGCGGGGGGAAAAAAAAAACAACCCTTGGCATTTTGGCAACCATGGCTTTGGCTCGCAACAAGGGTTTTCGTCGACACGCTCGTTCCAGGTCGGGATGTGGGAGAAGGACCGGCTGTCGCTGAAATACCCTCTGTGGCCGCGCTACGAGCTGTCCGAGTCCACGGTGATGGACGACCGCCACCTGAGCGTGGTGACACTGGAGGAGAAGCCCTTCGTCATCGTGGAGGACGTGGACCCCCAAACACGCATGTGCATGCGCAACACCGTCCCCTGCCGCCAGAAGATCAAGCTGTTCAGGTGAGTCCACGGGCCTACGATGGAGGGCCCACTGCCCACACCACCCCCCCACCAAACACGTCATCTCACGAAAAACGCGCGGCGTCGGTGCCAATGTTTTGACGTGCGGTTGGGGAACGTTTGCCCCAACGTTGGCTGGACGTTGGCCCAACGTTCCGTGTATACTGGGCTGTTATATATATTCTTCCCATTTAAGGCGACAATGTTATTGCCGAATGTGTTGGGGGGGTTTTTTGTTGTTGTTGTTGGGTTATTTATTGCCGTGCACTGCTGCTGCCGCAGCCAGCATCACCAAATAATTTGCTCCGGTAGGGAGTGATTTATCTGCAGGCGTTTATTTTGCTAGAACGGCCGTCCAAGCGTGGGTGTTGGTTGCTGTGGCACATTCACCGCGTGACTGCCTTCCCCGGATACATTTGTGGGTGTTTCTATATTTGGGCAGGCAGAGCAAATGTTATTTTGTTACGTGAGGTGAATAGCAAGGGGAGGCCTCGCCACGCCGCTAGCCCCCTCCGCGCCGGTGGCCACGACGCCGTAGGGGGAAGAACAAAAACAATCCGCAGAATTTTTGTTGTTGCTTGCTGCCTGAGTGGAGATGAGCAAAGTGTATCCTACAGACGCTTTGCTCCGCTTGAATCATGGCTTCGTCTCCTCCGTAGCCCGGGATACCTCTGTAGATTCAATGATGGAACGCAACACATTTATTTTCTACAAGTGTCCTGCTAGGCGGTGCCTTTAATTGGCCATTTACTTTCTGACAAATATCTACAGAGAGTGGCTCTCTGACTCGCTCCGTTTTGGGCTCATTGCTCTTCACCCGAGCGAATTACTGGGACACTATTTTCTTTACCGGCAGAGAGGTGGTGCAGCGGTTTGTAAACTGCACTCAGAGCCCTGCGAACCTGAGTTTGATTTCCAGCCACGGCCAACATCAGTGACATTGGAACCAGTCCTGGAAATTCCCCCCCCGCCACCCCCTCAACCTTTCATAAACGCACACTGAACAGTATGATGAAGTGTGGTCAACCATCCCCCACGAATGATACGGCATGGGAGAGGCCTTCATAGAGTAGTGAATTAACTGAGGACTGTAAATTCCTATTATTTTATATTTTTACCACTATATTCCAATACCATTGCGTAAATAGTTTAATAAGAACTTGTATATGTGCGTGTGTACGCACGTGTGTATTTCCCCCCCCTCCCCCCCCCCCCCAGTAATATGACCAATCCATCTTCGAGCCCATACGTGAAGAAGTGCTGCAAAGGGTTCTGCATCGACATCTTGAAGAAGCTCTCCAAAACCGTGAAATTCACTTACGACCTTTACCTGGTCACCAACGGCAAGCACGGGAGCAAGATCAACGGGGTGTGGAACGGAATGATTGGCGAGGTAAGGAGCCTTCGTTTCAATCGGTAAATATCCCTTCTGGTTGTCCGATAATACTTTTTATCCCAGCGGTCCTAATGCACTGCGTGAGGCCCCGTGCTGTGTAAACTATTCGGGATTTGAACGCGCAGCGCGACGGGCACGCGCAAAAATCATTGGGCGCCGTTTTCGTGGTTGCGTTATCAGATCAATATCATCGACGCCAAAGAGACAGGTGAGAAAAAAAAAATCCGCTGCTGTAAATTGAAATGAAACCGCCGATTTCGCGTCTCAGATCTCGGCGTGGCCATTGCGAACGATCAATCCCAACGCCGGCGACGCTCCACTGCTCAGCGCCGTTGGCGTGACATCCGGCAGCCTCCACCCTGCAGCGCTGCCCTGCAAAAAACAGCGGCTGGAGCAAGCAAGCGGGCAGTGTGCAGCCGGGATGATCAGCGTTAGGTCGACTTCGGTCATTGATGAAAGAGCTCTGCAACTTTGTAACAGTGGCAAAAAATGTTTACGAATTGTTATCATCGTGATGATCATCATATTGCTGCAATTCAAAAAATGTTTCGGTTTACATGAGGCCCTGAGATGGGGCGCCATGTGGTGTGCCAATTAAACAGCAGTCGATTTGTTTCGGACTGCGTCTTCAGTGACGCTTCTTCATAAGAAAAAGTTATCTCTCTCGTTTATCTATCCACAGTAGCAAGTAGCGTGTAAGGCAAACAGTCAACCAGCTTAAACATTCCGTCTTTTTGTTTTGTGTTTTTATAATGAATAAATAAATGCTGCGTCTTCACGAAATGCAATTATTAGCAGCAGCATTAAACACGAGACATCGATTCGTTTCCATTAGATTGAATTCCAAATTACAAGAAGGCGTGTGAGCGCCTGGTTCGCGCTCGTCAGCGTGCGGGGCACAGGAGCACGCGAGGCAATTTCGTGAGTGCGCTCGCAGCATTCAACGTTATGACGCTGGCAAGTGGCTTAAGTTACACTGCCAAATGTTGTCGCTTGATAGGCCGTTGTGCATCATCACGTGCAGTGTTTCTACGAGTTGAATGTCCTAATTTCCTTACCAGCTCACCACCCCTCTCACTCTCACAATCCACTACCCCCTCTCACTCTGCACACTCGTTCACCTGCGCGCCATCCATGTTTTGCTTCGTTCATTCGCCGCAACAACCCCCTCGCTTGGTGTCCCACGTCTTGCCGCAGGCTGCCACCTCGACTCCGTACCGTGGCCCTCCTTCTGTCCTTACACCGCTCTCGACACCTCTTCACGCCACTGCCCCCCCTCTTCACTCACCACGATTCCTCCTCTCTCTCTGCCTGTCCCTTCCTTCCTCTGCTTCCATCATAGCTCCGGTACCCCCCAACCCGCCATCATCTCCCTCCCCCCGTCTAGCCTTCTCATTTCTCTCATCACAATCTCGGCTACCTTAATATCCTCTACTCCGACGGACTCCCTATATCGTCTCTTCCCTTGCACCCCCCTCTGACCACCATGATGCACCACGCTGTTGGAATGGGGCCAAGCAGTAAACTGACAACGGCCACCTTCACGACCACAACAACAATGAAACAGGCTGGGCAGCCAATATGCCTTCCACAGCAACGCTTTCCAACATTTATAGTTGAACACTTAGGCTTTCCGACCAAAAATATCCAAAATATAATTTTTGTTTTACGTGATCGAACCCGAAAACCTACGTTATCTTTCCAGCATTGTCCGTTTAATGTGTCCCCATCTGCTCCTTCGTGGATGGATGGAATTTCGTGTTTAGCGATGCACTGTCGGGCCACCTACGTGTCCGTTCTTTGAATCGTGAGCACGCCAATCCCGCGGAACAATGAGGTCCAGCAAGAGGGGCGGCTCACGCGGCGAGATTAAATTGTTAAGTCGCCCGTGCTTGTGCTCGTGTGCTCGTGTGTCGCGATGTGACGCTCCTCCAGGTGGTGAACATGCGTGTGCTTGTGTGCTCGTGTGTCGCGATGTGACGCTCCACCAGGTGGTGAACATGCGTGTGCTCGTGTGTCGCGATGTGACGCTCCACCAGGTGGTGAACATGCGTGTGTTTGTGTGTCGCGATGTGACGCTCTACCAGGTGGTGAACATGCGTGTGTTTGTGTGTCGCGATGTGACGTTCCACCAGGTGGTGAACATGCGTGTGTTTGTGTGTCGCGATGTGACGTTCCACCAGGTGGTGAACATGCGTGTGTTTGTGTGTCGCGATGTGATGCTCCACCAGGTGGTGAACATGCGTGTGCTTGTGTCGCGATGTGACGCGATGTGACGCTCCACCAGGTGGTGAACACGCGTGTGCTTGTGCTCGTGTGTCGCGATGTGACGCTCCACCAGGTGGTGAACATGCGTGTGCTTGTGCTCGTGTGTCGCGATGTGACGCTCCACCAGGTGGTGAACACGCGTGTGCTTGTGCTCGTGTGTCGCGATGTGACGCTCCACCAGGTGGTGAACATGCGTGTGCTTGTGCTCGTGTGTCGCGATGTGACGCTCCACCAGGTGGTGAACATGCGTGTGCTTGTGTGCTCGTGTGTCGCGATGTGACGCTCCACCAGGTGGTGAACATGCGTGTGCTCGTGTGTCGCGATGTGACGCTCCACCAGGTGGTGAACATGCGTGTGTTTGTGTGTCGCGATGTGACGCTCCACCAGGTGGTGAACATGCGTGTGCTCCTGTGTCGCGATGTGACGCTCCACCAGGTGGTGAACATGCGTGTGCTCCTGTGTGGCGATGTGACGCTCCACCAGGTGGTGAACATGCGGGCCCACATGGCCGTTGGATCGCTCACGATCAACGAGGAACGCTCGGAGGTGGTGGACTTCTCGGTCCCGTTCGTGGAGACGGGCATCAGCGTCATGGTGCCTCGGAGCAACGGGACCGTATCGCCGTCCGCGTTTCTTGGTAAATCGCCGCTAGGGCTGCCGTGACATCTCGCGGACGGACTGCGAGGGTGGGGGACAAGGTGCGAGACTCGGAGAGGTCCCCCACCGCTTGCGTCGATCGTCCGGCGGTAAACGCGGTGTAAATATTGCGGCGGTGGCGGCGGCGAATTAATATGCATCAGATAAGAAGGGATGGCAGGCCGTAAACTTTAGTTTTAAATCTTTATATGCCTGAATTATGCCTCGTTTATGAATAACACTTTTTTTTGTCAAACGGTGCGAATCGGTTTGTAATAAGGTTATCCTGCTGTGGGTTTTGTTTGTAATTGCAGAGCCGTTCAGTGCCGACGTCTGGGTCATGATGTTCATCTTGTGCTTACTCGTGTCCGGAATAGCCGTCTTCATCTTTGAATACTTCAGTCCCGTTGGCTACAATCGACAGCTGTCAGCCGGAAAGGGTGAGTCCCGCTCCTATGTATGTGTGTGTGTGTTTGTGCGTTCAACTTTTTTCGCACCGTACGTAGCCAATCGTGATAATCGCCGTAGCCTGCAGATGCGCCGGGTTTATTTTACGCTGGATTTATGTCTGCAGTGATTTTCTGCATCGATAAATCATCACGTTTCTTTATTAGTGTCATCGTCACAATAATCGTCATCGTCATCAATTTTCAAGGGGTGTCCGTGCACCGCTGTACATTTCGTCGAATTAATTTTAACTTTAAATCTTTCTTATTTGTAATATGTCACTTTGGATGCATATGGCGAAATTAAATTAGCAATATAAAAGAATAAACAAAAATGTCCATCACCCCACGATGACCAGCATGGCCAAACAACTCCCATGACAGTGGATTAACAGAGTGCTGTACAATACTTATTATATTTAGAATCTTTCACTCACCCGAGTGATTTAAATTCATCTTGTTAGCCCTGAGGGGTGAGAGTCTGGATTGTCCGTCAACCAGGAGGCACGTCTCCTGTCTCCCTATTGTGCGTTAAGCCCTCTAACCATAGTACCTCCTGCCTCGATGAAAGGAATATTTTCCCCAATATGTTTTCCAGCCATTTAAGACATTGCAATTAAAAAAAATTAATTTCATGGACGTATAATTACGCTTTCAGCTGTAAAACTTCGTAGCATATGCCGTCTGCTTTAATCTTCCCAATGTTACATCACCAAATTAATTACACCTTTTTATATAATCACATTTTACAACTTCTTTGGTTCTTTCGGTAAAATTCAACATCATTCCTGCATTTACACGGGCAAGATGACCAGTGCATCATCACCATCATTATCCAGATCATGTGTTTGAGATTTAAAATCCATGGAACGCTGCAAAGAAGCCGCTGTGCCCAAGGAGTATATTGCACATGTCATAGACAAGAGCCATCGATTGATCAGCGGACCATTTCTCGTGGTTATGTAGTAGCGCCCAAATGCATGGAAATAAGGACAAGACGAGCCAAGGAAGCCTTGGGATTGAATCAAGGACTCGGCACGTTCGTCACAGACGCTGTGGACTTAAAATAAAAAAAAGTACATAATAGGTGACATTTTGCGCAGTGGCAATTTTTTTCACAGCACATGAAAAATGGGCCATAGTCTGCAACTTCAATCGTTTATTTTATTTTTTTAAAGGCCACAGTGTTATTTTTGAATGCGTTGAATCGTTTTTTGTTACTTGCGCTTGTGCACCACTTCCAACACAGCAGCAGCAGCCGCAGCTGCATCACCAAATAATTTGTTTATATTTAATCAGTCAGCCTGTATGAGCACATTGGAGGCGTAGAGATACTTTCATGTGACCACAGTACCTGCTGTCAACAGCTCTTGATTAGTCCGAGAAATTCTGGAAGATCAACAAATTATTTATATAGCCAGCATGAAGACTTGGACATCGCAATTCCAGACAAGATGGACAAATCCAACCGAACTTTACAAAAGTGGCAAAGATACCATATGAATAACTCACACCAAAGCAATATACATTTTAGACAATATAAATGAATAAATGCATAAGATATCACTATAATTCATTTTCAGATGTAATTTAAGCATCACTAATCATCAACAGTTGTATATACATATTTCTTAGAAAAAAAAACCGTGACGATTCGAGAAAGTGCAATGCATCACGACTGGAAAGATTTAGACGAAAACCGGTTAAAACTAGATTTAAAACATAAAATAAAAATATTTTAGAATATCATCTTCAGTGAATAACTTCCCGCGTGGTGCCGCGCGCACGCTCGTAACGCGTTCATCTCTGCCTGTTGTTTTATGTCTCTCTGCAAGAATTCGGAGGGCCGGCGTTCACCATTGGCAAGTCCATCTGGCTTCTCTGGGCCATCGTGTTCAACAACTCGGTGCCAGTGGAGAACCCGCGGGGAACCACCAGCAAGTTCATGGTCTCCGTTTGGGCTTTCTTCGCCGTAATTTTCCTCGCCAGCTACACGGCCAATTTGGCGGCCTTCATGATCCAGGAGGACTACATTGACCAGGTTTCAGGTCTCAGCGACAAAAAGGTAAATCGATCTTCCCCTTGCCATCTTGCAATGCTTCCGGATGCTCTTACTCGGAAAGAAAGAAAAGAGAACCGCTATAACACGGCCCCCTTGTGAAACCTACTCGCGTACGATCGAAAGCTATTTGGAAATTACGTAATTTGGAATGTGCAGCATGCTCGTGTCTATTCATGCAATCCTTTGAAAGCATTGGTCTACATGTATAAGTCGATGTGGCATTGCACGTCTTTCACTGAAATAAAATGGAACTCTTTTAAAATCCATAGCGACAATGATGCGGGAATTCACAGACACCGGGAGATTTTATTATTATTCGTTGTTGTTGTTGTTTTTGCGGTAAGGTTATGCAAATTGATCCCTCCCCACCCCACGATTCATATTTAAGTAAAATCGCCACGGCGTTCCGTGAGCTTAACGCCGTGTGACGTTCGCGATGCGAGACACATTAGGGACACAATGGACGGGGTCGCATTTCTCGGGCCGTCTCCCGCGCTATCGCTGCTCACCGAGAAACAGCAGCGGGGGAGCGATGTCAACACGCCGCTGTAATAACGCCCATGTCATGCGGCACTCTGCAAATCACCTTATCGCGCCAGGAAGTATGGTGGGATTCATCCGGTCCTTTAATAGACTTTAAGAGAACATGGAATGGGTGGAGATAACAGAAGATATCTTCCAGGGGAGAAATTTAAAGTGCCCTACGCTTTCCCATTCGCCGGCTTTGCTTTTCAAGCGACGCTTTCACCCATTTGTGTTTTGGGTGGGGGGGGGTAGAGGGAGTCGGGAGGGGGGGGGGCAAAAACAATCTGTGGGTATAAACATCTCTCAGATCCAGAGGGGCTGTAGTTCCAAAAATATCAAAAGCACATCCCACACACAATTGGTTGCCACTTATGCACCAGCAGCTGTTATTCCACTGTCCGAGAATGGAACTGTCAAATTTGTTTTAAATATCCACAAAAATAGACTGAATAAAACAAAACAATACATAGTGATATATATACGTGTGTCTATTTAACACGAACGTTATTTAAGTACGTGAATTAAGCAAACGCAAATGTGTCGTATGAGAAGTCTACATTATTGCTCAAATAAAAATAAACGTTAAATTATGCATTATTAGGAGAATAAGTCGGCTCAGGAAGATTATTTTTAGACTGATCGTTGTGCAATTACTAATTAAGTAACAGAAAACCAAACGGGTATCGGGTGGCTATTGGACTACTATGTAAGCAGAGAGGCAATAATCAGTAGCAATTGAAATGTAGAATGCGCATTCCATCCTAGGATCCCAACGCGCAATGCACGAAAAGCAGGAAACAAAAACAAAACCAAGGCAACCGACAAATCTAAAGAGGGAAGACCACTATCAACGAGATGGGGTTTCAAAGCAGACTTTAATCTATCGACCGACTCGATTTCCTGACTTCAAATGGCAAGGCGTTCGAAATGCAATTGCAAGTGAAGTTATCAGAAATAATGTCTTCACTCGTCGGTACATTTCACTTGTCCCTCCTTTCACCCTCAAAGGACAAGAAGCCTGGAAGCAGAGCACACGCAGAGAGAGAGAGTGAGACAGTTAGAGACACAGAGAGACACAGAGAGACAGAGTGAGACACAGAGACAGAGAGAGACACAGACACAGAGAGAGACAGAGTTAGAGACACACAGAGACAGAGTTAGAGACACAGAAAGACTGAGTTAGAGACAGAGTGAGACAGAGAGAGAGACAGAGAGACACAGAGAGACAGAGTTTGAGACAGAGAGAAACAGAGAGACAGAGTTAGAGAGACACAGAGAGACAGAGTGAGGCACAGAGACAGAGAGAGACACAGAGAGACAGAGAGAGACAAAGTTAGAGACACAGAGACACAGAGAGAGACAGAGTTAGAGACACAGAGAGACAGAGTGAGAGACACAGAGAGACACAGAGACACAGAGTTAGAGACACAGAGAGACAGAGTTAGAGACACAGAGAGACACAGAGAGACAGAGAGAGAGACACAGAGACAGAGTTAGAGACACAGAGAGACAGAGTGAGACAGAGTGAGAGACACAGACAGACAGAGTTAGAGACACACATAGAGAGACACGGAGAGACAGAGACAGAGTCAGAGACACAGAGACAGAGTTAGAGACACAGAGAAACAGAGAGAGACAGAGTTAGAGACACAGAGACAGAGTGAGAGACACAGAGAGACAGAGAGAGACAGAGTGAGAGACACACAGAGAGACAGAGTTAGAGACACAGAGAGAGACAGAGTTAGAGACACAGAGAGACAGAGTTAGAACACACAGAGAGACAGAGAGAGACAGAGTTAGAGACACAGAGAGAGACAGAGTTAGAGACACAGAGAGACAGAGTTAGAGACAAAGAGAGACAGAGAGAGAGACAGAGAGAGACACAGAGACACAGAGTTAGACAGAGATAGACACAGAGAGACAGAGTTAGAACACACAGAGAGACACAGCGAGAGACAGAGTTAGAGACACAGAGAGACAGAGGGAGACAGAGAGAAAAACACTTGCCAGTTTATGGAAATACATACATTGAATGCATTAACATCTAGATTTGAATTCACATGCCTAGATGTGGAGTTGGGCTTTCGAGCTGGCGAGTGTAAAAAGGGCTTCTCCGATTGGTCTCATTATTGTCCACTTCATTCATGTCACTTTATTTTAATTTCGTAATTTTAGTGACCCAGAAACTCCCTTGCAAAATGAGACTCATCCTCGTCTGTGGCGTTTCCATCACCTGGTTGAAAAAACGTCAACTGACACTGAACCAATGGGTTGAGAGTAAATCTTTGCACAGGAGCTCATTTCGTTCCTCCACCTCCGTGATGGTCACACTCTAAGACGCGTTCTCTCCTTGAGCTGCAATTCCTTCACCAGTCCCGTCCCCCTTGCTCCAACGTCTCGTCTGGCGATATGTCTCTCCGAAATACAACTTGCTTACCTGAACGATCAATCTGATGTCTTTAGTTTTGTGATAGCTCATTGATCCACATCTTCCTTTTTTATGTTTTATCAGTGCAATTGCATTTTTTTTCTTTCCTCTCATAACGCAATAAAAAAATGTCATTGTGAGATAAAAATAGGCGTTCGTGTATTTGAGAATGTTCACATCCGCGTATCAGGCAGGACGCTTTGATGAAAGAATGATAGCCGGTGGGGCAAAAATAATAACAGTGGCAACCAAGGGAGGGGAATGCACCAGAGGTGACGTCTACCGCGGAGATGGAGCTATGAAATCGGCAGCTGCTGGGTGGATTGTGACATTGCAGGGCCATGAGAGATTTCTACAGATCTGGGAGGCCTTCATCCAGCAGTGGATTGATCTCGGCTGGTGATGATGCTGACGATGAATACGATTGTGCAAAATGGGTGCCTACTGCATATTGATTGATGTCCACCTATTGACGGATGCCCATGCATACTTACAGAAGTCATGCAAAATAAATCGGTGCCACCGTCATGTAATATTCATTCGTAGTTGCATTCCACATTCCATTAAAGAGGCACATAAATACCAGAGCCTCTCTGCTCCCACCGCTGTCGTTCGGACGGCTCCCAACCTCCCCGGTTTGCGAGTGCGAGCCTGTCCCTTTTTGCGAAAGCGTTATTTTTTTGTTAATTTCACCCAGTAGCCTTTTTACAATGCTAAATTGCACACTCAATCCCGATCATCAATTGGAAGGCTAATTCATGAGGCGGTTTGGCGATGTTGGGACACCGTGGCCACGGTGTAACGGTCAGCACGCACGCGGATATTGAAACCTCGAGGTCGCCGCTCTGAGCTCCCAGCAGGGCGGAGTGAAACAAAGTGACACGTCCATAAGATCCACACGCTGCCTCTGCCCGCCCAGCAGTGTAAACGGGTAACAGCAGAGCGAGGGGCCGCAGTGGCGAGATGTTAGCTGCCTCGCCTGGTATACAGGAGGTCGTGGGTTCGATCACGACCCTGACACCTGCTGTATATTTGGAGTTTGCATGTTCTCCCCGTGGTCACGTGGATTTTTCTCCGGGTCCTCAGGTTTTTTTCCTCCAGATTTAGAAACATTCCCTTAAAGTATTTGGCTGCTGTAAATTTCCACGTGATAAGCCACTGTGTTAAGCTATCATTTTGTGGCCAGATGGCTTCTGAAAAAGAGCCACGTATCTCAGTGGGCCTTTCCTGGTCAAATAACAATAGGTTGGGTTTCAGTACAATCGATCTTATTACCTTACCGATCACTCTGCCACTCATTACAGAGTTACCCTGCGGACTGCCAGCAAGAGTGATGTGTTTTCATTAGTGTGCGACCTGTCTTATGGCCCCTCACTTTTTTTAGAGTAGAATAAGCCTGGAGCACAGGGTTTGGTAGTGTCAGAAAGATAATTTTCGTAAAACCCTTGAAAAATGTGGGAACTTTGGGTAATCCATTAGCAGTGACCTCGGGGTACCTCTTGAGAGGTTTTTTGTTTTTTTCTCTGGATTATTAATAGGCCTGTAAGATGTAAATAAATATACATACATGTATGCACATTGCTAGCAGAACGGAGCTCTGGAGAGCCCCTCTAGTTAGCATTCGGCCTACTCGTTCACACTCTGGCCAGACAACTTGGAGAAGGTTGGAGCACTCACACTTTACCCCACCGCATGCGAACCGCCGATCGAGGAACTGCATTGAGGCCATATACGGTGCTGGGTGGACAGAGGAAGCGAGGGAACATTGTGGAAACTTGCCCCATCGTCTCAACTGCCGCGCCGGGAGATTGAACTGATGACCCCTGACTTACAAGTCCAGTGTACTATCCATTAGAGGTTCATTTGAGTTAGGTTGCATAAATATAAATGCGTCGTTAAACCCGCCACCACCCGACACAGCCAATCGCGTAAACAGAACATGCCAATTCGTTATAAATTCAGCACACCAGTGTATTGGAGTGTAAACCCAGCGCACTGACCATTACCGCACTGTGGCAGCATGCCATATGTAACTTTGACTTAACATTCACCTCATGAAGTATTTAAAGAAATGTTTTAAAGAAATATTCTTGAAACAGAATTAGAGGGTTGGTAGCACAACGTATTAAGAACCCGGTGGGTCCCAATTTTAATTCTTAACCATGGCTAACATCAGCAGCACGTGATTTCTGACCTCACCCCGTTCACCAACCCTCACCGGCCTGCCTGGTGAAGTATGGTCAAACATCCCCCATAACCGACACGGCATGGGGAGGCATTCATCCAGCAATGGATTTTAAAAATGGTCTAACTTGAAGTTCAATTGTCTCCTGTTATTCATAAGCATTCTTGAAACGCATGTCAAGTCTAAATTGTGTAAGCGACCAATGTGTGTGCGTATGTTCGTTCCAAATTATTGTCTCGTAATAAAGAACTAAGGTTTGTTTTTAACAAGTCGCATTATTCCCCCCCCCCCCTTCCTTAGTTCCAAAGCCCGCTGGAACATTCACCGCCGTTCCGGTTTGGAACTGTTCCAAACGGAAGCACGGAGCGTAACATTCGAAATAATTACCTACAAATGCATGGCTACATGTCAAAGTTCCACCAAAAGTCCGTAGAAGATGCTTTAATGAGCCTGAAAGCAGGGTAAGTTATCTTTTTTTTTATTATCACATCAAAGCAAGCGCACGCATGGCATCTCGCAACAGGGTGGAGGATTCATCCCCGAGCAAAATGTTCCCCGGTACCTCACGGCACCTTGCTCTGCCGTGGCGTACACGTTGAGAGACTAGGGCAGACAGCAGGTATAAACACCAACAGGTGAACAACGTCTTCGACCCTCCAGCCACAGTGACACTGCCAAGAACATTGTACGCGCACAACTCTGCGCCATGCCTTGCCCGTTTGCCCGAGGTAAAAAATCTTATCACCTTCCACATCCCCTCAGCGGTTCTTACAGCAGCCACTCACCTTCCTCCGCTCTCCCGGCCACCCCAGTGTTTGCAGTTGCGGTGGTATTACAGCCAGATCGGAATCAAAGACCACTACATTAATTAATGGCTGTAACGCCTTACTGCGTAGTAGAGCATTTATAGTTGGGTGTCTTCCGTGAGTATGCGGAGGTGTCTCGTTCCGGTACCATGAACCCCGGACCCATTTACCGCCATCAGATAGCCTGAGGCCACAATGGGGGGAAAGTCAGTTGGACAACCATTCAAAGCGGGAGTCTGCCTTGGCTTTGTATTCATATGATGAAAAGTAGGACTTCACATTCCGGGATAAAACGCAGGCCGGCCGGCCGGTCCAATCCTCCCGTTGCGACGACGTGTGGCGTACATGCTGGGCCTGAGCTGCGCTGACTCCGAGCCAGAATTGCGTCAATCAAGGCCGGGCTGCCACCCCACGGCCGCGTTGCCCCGCTGTGTTTAAACTCCAGCTGCTTGCCCACCACACTCACACTCCCACTCCTTGTTCCAAAGTCCCAGTCCCCTTCATCATTAGACCTCCTTTGCCAGTACCAAAATGTAATAATAGGGTTTTTACCCTTTTTTCTGGCAACAAAACTGAAACCTTTTTACAAGGATTCATGTCTGCATTAACCACAATACCTGCAGTCAAAATGCAAACAAAAAACATACTATGATAATATATGCATTGTCCTTGAAACTGATTGGTCCACACCAAGGGACGGCTTCTGGCGTCATGTGGTCGAGCACCAATTGGGTTGAGGCTCAAAAGAAAGCCGTCCCTTGGTGTGGACCAATCAGTTTCAAGGACAATGCATATATTATCATAGTATGTTTTTTGTTTGCATTTTGACTGCAGGTATTGTGGTTAATGCTGACATGAATCCTTGTAAAAAGGTTTCAGTTTTGTTGCCAGAAAAAAGGGGAAAACCCCTATTATTATCCCAGTCCCCTGTGGCCTAAGCGTCCTGCCCAAGAACAAAGCATTCAGTGGGCAAGCATCAAGGCAAGGGCTGGTCGTGGTGATGGTTGAGAATTTACATGAAAATGAAACGTGCCGAGACGAAAGTGTATTTTTTGTGATGAAAACAAAAAAGTAATTTTTCTGTCGTGATGCAAGAAATTATTGGGCAGTGGTGCACAAGTACAAACAACAACAAAATAACCTCAACACATTCATCATCCCTGTATTTCTTTATGCCTCTGTCAGTCTCTCTCCATCTCTTCATCTTTCTGTGTCTCTCAATAAATCGTGTCTCTGTCTCTTCCTTCGTCTCAGTGCAACTCTTCATGTCTCGGTATCTCAGTCTCTCTCTTCATCTCAATGTCTCTCCGTGCCTGTGTGTGTGTGTCTCTCTCTGTGTCTTATCACGATCTGCACAGCACTGACCTCATTGTTGAGACAGCTTAGAGCCCAGAGGCTGTACACAACTTCTCCAGGGGCAGTAATCTCAGCGCAAAGCCCTACACGGATTGAGTGTTCCGTGGAAATGAGCCATGAAGAAATGTTTAAAGCCATCGCAGGTGTTCCTATGAGTGGATCACTATATTAATTATACATTGTGAAAAGTTACCGCTGCAACATTAAATGCGTTTACATAGAACCTAACGGCCATATGTGATCAAAAATCAACTCTTGTTTAACTTCAAGCAAAGAGCTCATCAGATCAAGCTCGTAAATACCATTCGACACTTAACCTAAAGTTTAATGTATTAGGACATGAACAATATGATTTGCACTTATTAATACCTGACATTTGTGAGAAAAAAATCTTGTCATTATTCAGTTACAGTCGGTTCACAGATAACGGAGCTGGGCCCTGTATATTTGGGGTTTGTGTGTTCTTCCCCTGGTCGCGTGGGGTTTTCTCCGGGTCCTCCACATTTAGAAACGTGCGCTTAGAGTAACTGTCTGCTGTAAATTTCCACATGATAAGCCACTTCGTTAAGCTATCACCTGTGGCCAGGTCGCTTCTGAAAAAAAGAGCAATATCGCTCAGGGGGCCTTACCTCGAAAAATAAAACATTGTTAAGTTTGAGTTTAATCTCCATAGCCACTTCTAGTTGCATCTTCTTTGTATCGCTTGTCAACGCGTGCACAACACATCTAAATAGCCCTTATCTTCCCGGCAATAATTAGTAACTAGCTTCTAATGCTCCGGCTTCTTCAAGCAATGGTGGTGTGCCTATCGGTGAACTCGCTCTTCCACTCTTTCAGGAAGCTCGATGCGTTCATCTACGACGCAGCGGTGCTGAACTATATGGCGGGGAAGGACGAGGGCTGTCGCCTCGTCACCATTGGGAGTGGAAAAGTGTTCGTGGCTACAGGATATGGCATTGCCCTGCAGAAGAGTTCCCGTTGGAAAAGAGCCATAGATTTGGCTCTCCTGCAGTTTATCGGTGACGGTAAGACATGTTTATTTTTGTTCAATAAAATACCTCGAGATGAATTTTAACGAATGTGACTATCTGAACATAATGATTCATTTGCCATGTTAATATTTAAATTTATGTTACTATATTGACACGCGTATATCTCCAAAGTTTTGGTCTCGGCTGACACACCTGACAATAAAATAAGCACAGAGGCATGGAGAGGTGTGTACTTGGAATTGCACCGGGAAGACAGAGGGACACTCGGGTTGGAGACCGTACACACACACTAGCGACGTCGCGTATCGACTGCTGAAAGGGTCGGCGGGCTTGGGCAGGGCTCGTCACAAGCAGGAGCGATAGCCGGTGGGCGAGAATGATTACGGAGTGGCAGTCAAAGGAGGGAGTGCGCCCAAAGAGGAAACATCTGCCAGCGGAGAAGGAGCGATTGAATCAGCTCATGTGCAGGTGCCGGGTGGATTTATATATCGTAAGCGCCATGAGAGATTATGATGATAACTTGAGGATGCCTTCCTCCAGCAGTGGATGGATCATGGCTGATGATGACGATGGAACGTATGCAAATTGCTCAAGGTGACCTTTGGCAGTCGCTTTGCAGTCGACCATTTTGAGGAGCTATATTTGATGCCGGGGTCAAAGGTCAACGCAACTATGGTGTGACTACAAAGATGACCTAACACGAAAGTGTAATCGTGACATTTGGGAAATGTTCTCTGCATAATTGAGTGCAGGGTTGAGGTCACATTTCAAAAGTCCTACGATTGTTTCACTTGATCACTCAGAGATCCCCCGCGCACCAAGTTCATCGCTCGTTCGTTGATATGTATGACGTGACACTGCGTCTGGCCCTGTCCGCCAAGTGGCGCGGCGGTTAGCGTGGGGCACTGTGAACCCAGGGACCTGAATTTAACACCTGAGTTCAAATCCCAGCCACAGCCACATTAATGACACGATGTGGGTGGGGGAGGCATCTACTTACCCAGCAGTGGATTGACAGAGGGATTACAATTATGTATTTATGATTATTATTACTGTCTGCCATTGATTTCAGTAAGTTGCTGATGTTGGTATTGATGGTGGTGAACGGACTGCGGATTGGTAGTAATCTGGCGGGATCCATGATGAGCAGTCTTGCTCCATGGGTCACTATGACCATAGTTGGTGCCAATGATGCTAAGATCAAATGGTTAATGAACCCAAACATGCTCTCTCTCAAATTATATAAATAAACAAAGTCAATAAACAGCATGCATATGTTTAACACAGTGCAGAAAAATGTGGAACAGTGTTGTCAATATGTAAAATGATAGGCGTCACACCTAAGAAAAGTTACGGACATCTTTTAAAAATGGGCCGTCCATAAATGACGTCACGCACCTGGGGGGAGGGGGGGGGTCAGACATTTGTGACGCTGTGTGACGATGGGGGGGGAGGGTTTGAGAAACGTGACGTCACATCAAAATGCGCAACTTTAAACAAATATAGACAACACGTTCTACTTAATTAATAGACTTTTAAATAAATGTTTTCTCCTACAACATCAGAGTGCAGCGCCACATTAAATACGCACTGCAATAACAATAGTTTAAACCGATTTGAAGCATGTTTTATGGTTTTGAGGGGGGGGGTGCATAGCTTTGTGACGTCATATTTGAGGGGGGGGGGTCTGACTTTTTGTGACGCCGTGTGACGAGGGGGGGGGGTCAAAAATCGTCCAAAATCGCGTGACGTCATTTATGGAGGGCCCCAAAGCACGATTTCTTTTGTGCTGCGCCGCGACGCAGCGACGCGTGGACTCCAACGGTTCGAGCGACCGCTTAAAGAGAGACGAATTACGAGAAGTAACTTCACCGTCAAACTGGTGACAGGGAGAACAACGGTTATTGATTGAACACGGTACTGACAAATGTAAACAAATATACCTGTAATATCAAGGTTGTGCACGCTCATACATTTTTAATGACTCCTATTAGGCGCACATGTAAATTTGTCGAGACGCATAAAAACCAGGGTCACTGCGTCATTAATCAAAAGCGTCACTTTTGCGCCAGAAGTTTTGCCTCCTGTTTGGCGAATGACCAGAAGTGTCTGTTTTGTCCAAATGCGACATTCCTGTGCTTCAATCTGGACAACAACAAAGATAGGCTGTGCTTTTGTTTTGAGGGGTGGGGATCACGGCAAAAATGTGTATTTTAAGGCTGTCAAGCCGAGCCTCTGGTTTGATGTAAACATTCTAGAACTGTAATGGCGAGGTTTGACGAGTAGAGTGATGATCCATGATGAGGGTGGCCAACCACGAGAGATGACATTCACCAATAGAACATAGCGTATTCTCTGGATAATAAGGCGCATTATCCCCCACCCCAACCCCACCCCCTCCCCCCAGTATTTTTAAGCAAAGGTTGGGGGTAACGTCTGATGATCTGGAAGAAGGCTGGTTCTCCATCACAATGCTGTGCAGTGTATGTAAACAGGAGCAAAAACAAACGGAAATGAGATTGTAAAAATAAAAAAATACAATCAATCAACCTGGTGACCCAGTTTAACACGTAGTAGGCTTTAGCGACCAATGTTATTTAACGTGAATGTTTTTGCATTGCATCGCATAAATGTGTCGTCAATCCACCACCACCCGACACAGCCAATGAGCATGGTTTTCCACGTGAACAAAACGTGCCAATTAGTTACCACTTCAGCACACCGGTTGTGTGTCGGAGAGTAAACCCACAACGTTTACAATGTTGATACGACGTTTCGTTTGGTGATCACAACAACCAGCTTCTTTACAACCAGCTTGCGCCCCGAGGTTCAATCCCGGTAAATTCGTCTATCCTGATCTCTTGGGTTCTCTCGCGGTGATAAAAAAAAATAAACCTGAATGGAATTATGACCCAAATTTGCGACAATGCGTCGTATTGTTAAATTATCAGTGAAGCGTACGGCAGATTATCCGCCCCCACCGACATCATCATCGTCGTCGATGTCGTCTTTTGAACGGAAAACCCAACACGCGCGCGTTGCGGTTTTGTTGTTGTTCTCAGCGATTCCCGATGCTGCGCCTCTCTTTCTCTCTCGTCCCCCGTGTTGTGCCACGCAGGCGAAATGGACGAACTGGAGATGATCTGGTTGACGGGCATCTGCCACGGCGAGAGGAACGACGTGATGAGCAGCCAGCTGGACATCGACAACATGGCGGGAGTGTTCTACATGCTGCTCGTGGCCATGGGCCTGAGCTTCATCGTCTTCGTGTGCGAACACTTCTTCTACCACGTGGGACGCCACTGCGTGAAGAATAAAGAGAACGACGAGCCGGGCCTCCTCTATTCCATAAGCAGGGTGAGTTTGGGTTTGTTGGTGGGAAGGGTGCGAGCCGTGCGAAACGTCAGTCGACATCGCTGTGCTGTCCTGCTATCGTCGTCGTCGTCGTCCAGCGGTTGTCGATTTTTTTTTTCTCTCTCTCTCTTCCCGCAAAGATACAGTGAGGGAAAAAAGCATTTAATCCCCTGCTGATTTTGTACGTTTGTCCACTGACAAAGAAATCATCAGTCTATAATTTTAACGGTAGGTTTATTTGAACAGTGAGAGACAGAATAACAACAACAAAATATCCAGAAAAACGCATGTCAAAAATGTAATAAATTGATTTGCATTTTAATGAGGGAAATAAGTATTTGACCCCCTCTCAATCAGAAAGATTTCTGGCTCCCAGGTGTCTTTTATACAGGTAACGAGCTGAGATTAGGAGCACACTCTTAAAGGGAGTGCTCCTAATCTCAGCTTGTTACCTGTATAAAAGACACCTGTCCACAGAAGCAATCAATCAATCAGATTCCAAACTCTCCACCATGGCCAAGACCAAAGAGCTCTCCAAGGATGTCAGGGACAACGTTGTAGACCTACACAAGGCTGGAATGGGCTACAAGACCATTGCCAAGCAGCTTGGTGAGAAGGTGACAATAGTTGGTGCGATTATTCGCAAATGGAAGAAACACAAAAGAACTGTCAACCTCCCTCGGCCTGGGGCTCCATGCAAGATCTCACCTCGTGGAGTTGCAATGGTCTTGAGAACGGTGAGGAATCAGCCCAGAACTACACGGGAGGATCTTGTCAATGATCTCAAGGCAGCTGGGACCATAGTCACCAAGAAAACAATTGGTAACACACCACGCCGTGAAGGACTGAAATCCTGCAGCGCCCGCAAGGTCCCCCTGCTCAAGAAAGCACATATACATGGCCATCTGAAGTTTGCCAATGAACATCTAAATGATTCAGAGGACAACTGTGTGAAAGTGTTGTGGTCAGATGAGACCAAAATGGAGCTCTTTGGCATCAACTCAACTCGCCGTGTTTGGAGGAGGAGGAATGCTGCCTATGATGACCCCAAGAACACCATCCCCACCGTCAAACATGGAGGTGGAAATATTATGCTTTGGGGGTGTTTTTCTGCTAAAGGGACAGGACAACTTCACCGCATCTTAGGGACGATGGACGGGGCCATGTACCGTCAAATATTGGGTGAGAACCTCCTTCCCTCAGCCAGGGCATTGAAAATGGGTCGTGGATGGGTATTCCAGCATGACAATGACCCAAAACACACGGCCAAGGCAACAAAGGAGTGGCTGAAGAAGAAGCACATTAAGGTCCTGGAGTGGCCTAGCCAGTCTCCAGACCTTAATCCCATAGAAAATCTATGGAGGGAGCTGAAGGTTCGAGTTGCCAAACGTCAGCCTCGAAACCTTAATGACTTGGAGAAGATCTGCAAAGAGGAGTCGGACAAAATCCCTCCTGAGATGTGTGCAAACCTGGTGGCCAACTACAAGAAACGTCTGACCTCTGTGATTGCCTACAAGGATTTTGCCACCAAGTACCAAGTCATGTTTTGCAGAGGGGTCAAATACTTATTTCCTTCATTAAAATGCAAATCAATTCATAACATTTTTGACATGCGTTTTTCTAGATTTTTTTGTTGTTATTCTGTCTCTCACTGTTCAAATAAACCTACCATTAAAATTATAGACTGATCATTTCTTTGTCAGTGGGCAAACGTACAAAATCAGCAGGGGATCAAATACTTTTTTTCCCTCACTCTACATAAGTAAATAACCCTAAACAAGTTTTTTTTTATTAAACAATTTGAAGTCTTTAGTATTCAACAACTTTCGGGAGCAACAGCAAAGGCTACCCTTCAATCACCATACTCTACGTCACCTGTCTCTCCTGTCCTCTCACAGTGTGCGCTGTTACTAGGCACGTTCTCTACGCGCTGTTCCAAATCGGAATGGGGTGGGGGGCAAGACGTGAGAGTGTTTAATATTAAAATATTTCGTGAAATATTTTCATATTAAAACCAGCACTGCCCGCGCATTTTCGCGGTGTACACGGTCCGGGGTGGAGGGTGGGGGGCAGTGGGGGGGGGGGGGGGTGACGTCACCACGAGGCTTCACGCTGCATCGCCACAAACAGCACAAGGACAATGCACACACACACACACGCACGTTTTCTAAAGCATGTTTAAAATAAAGAAGAGTTTTTACCCTTCCTGGCAATAACACAGGAGGTGTTAAGATGTCCAAACACCAAACAGAAACCTTTTGCAAGGAATCAAGTCTGCATTCATCGCACATACTTGTGGCAAAACATGCAAACCAATCATGCTCTGATAATTCACTATGTAAAAAAAATGTTTTTTTGTTCCTGGGTAGTAGGTGTTATTTTCCAATTGCTTGTGCCTCAAAAGTATAGAAAATTATTATCAACTCCATTAATAACACTGTGTAACAAATGTATATGTTTTTTTGTTCCTGAGTAGTAAGTGTTATTTCTTAATTGCTTATGCCTCAGAAGTAGAGAAAATGGCTATTATTACCCCACAAACTTTGCTTTTGTGACCAGGACAGTGGTATTTTGAAATTTACCTATTTTCAATGAGAAAAGTGTGCATTTGTGTCATTCCTTCACGTAAAGTTCTGGTCACAAAAGCAAAGTTTGTAGGGAATAATAGCCATTTTCTTTCATTTTGAGGCATAAGCAATTAGAAAATAACACTTACTTCCCAAGAACAAAAATCGTGTTACATAGTGATATAATATATGCATTCGTCTTTGAATCTGGCCTACACCAGAGACATCTTAACACCTGTTCTATTGCCAGAAAGGGGGGAAATCTATTCATCTAGTTCCATCATTTTCATCCTGGCAAAAAGATCTCATGGACACGAAAGCATGTATGTTTGAATGTTTTCTCACACGACATGTCTGATTAATGCAGACTCAATGCTACCTTCAGATGGGTGTCTATTTGGCGTTTGAACATCATATCACCTCCTGCAGTGTTCTTACCAGAAAGGGTGACGCCTATGCTTTGTCGCCATCTTAATGCTACCCCCTTAAGCTGGTGACGTCGGGTGACAAGCAGGCATGAATAATAATGAATTGTCACGATTAGGATCACAAATGCGTTTCAAGGATAGGTTGGGGGTTTGTTTTTTTCGTCTCGAGCTTAAGAATCCATTTGATCTTCTAAATATATTATTTCCCAGCGCTCTATCGATATCATGGCACCGCGTAACAAGACGGAAAAATCCATTCAAAGATTTGCGTGGGGCAAGCGAACCAACACTGCTGATGGCCCTCCGAGAGATTTTTTTTTAAGAAATTCTTACGTGGCCTCTTTATTTTCCTACAATAAGGGGCATCACTTACTTCCCACTGCTGTTAGATCAGTGTTTGTCACATAGAAGTCCCACCGATGGTTTACTTCTCAGAGACCTGGAGTTTAGCCATATTAAGTGGAAACATACTATGTAATGATAGTTTTTGTGTGTGTGTGTTAATGTATGTTGAACTTATTTCGCACCGTACGTAGCCAACTGTGCTAATTGGAGGTGCGAGGGAAGGACAACAAACTTAACACAAAACGCAGCGCAATTTTTTTTATTTAAAAGTGTGTAGCTCCAGTGGCTCCCTAATATCGACAGGAAGAGCGTTCCAGGCGGCCGCAGAAGCGCATCTGTTTGCACGTGATGCAGCTGCCGTATTTGTTCGATGGCTAGCGAGGATGGTTTATGCTCCTTAGTGTGTGCAGTTATCAGTAAGTGGGTTGAGACCATCAACTCACTGCAACTTGAGATCACGGTTTAATCACGGGTGTAACCATGGGCGGAGCCAGGATTTCAGGCCGGGGTGACATTCAACAAATTTTACTTTCAAGAATGATTAGACAGTCAGGCTGTTGAACTAGACGCCATCGGTTGGCGACACACTCTGACAATGCAGTTGCACGGAGTCCGCCAGACCGAGTGTCGTACACTTATACGCAGAATGTCACCCCTGTCACCCCCCCCTGGCTCCGCCCCTGGGTGTAACTGACACCCGGGGTTCAAACCCGGAGTCTCAGTCGTGTCGGCTCGGCAGCCCAGTGAGACTATTTCAATCGATGCATGGTTAAAATTCCAAAGTGACAACATCCAAAATATATGTCCTTTCTCTATTCCATGAAACCCATGTTTACTGTGTATAGAATGGAAAGATAACTCAAAAAATGAGTTCGCTCAAAAAAGGTGTTTCTCCGAATGCCACTGAGGAATCTACAGAAAGCCACCTGGAAGGCGGCACAATCAGGGATCTCACGTCGCTGAGTGGTGGCATGAGACCAGGCAAAACAAATAATCCTCCAGCGCTACTGAAGATGCGTGCCACTGGATCTATTCCAGGAAAAGTGAGACTTCCAGACGAGGCAACAGCTCTGGAGCATCCTGTGATGTGCAAACATTCAACGATGCAAGGAAACTAACGGGCGCAAATATCCGATTGGATTTCTGCTATCGATTTTGCCGATCCACAGCCTCCTTCGTCGCCGTCTGGCAATTAACGGTGTCATGAGTGATTCTGCTGAGGACGGCAGTAGGGGTGGCAGTGGCATTTTTATTGGCTCTGTTATGGTGCCATGTTGCAATGCATTCTCAACCCAGCGATTTTGATTACCGTAATTATTACAATTCAGCATCGCAATTCAAATCAAGAATATTTTTTTATTCTCTCATGTTTTTTTTATTTTCAATTGTTCCGCCTCGTACAGTCAGGTATATGTGCCATTAACATGTAAACTATTTAAATTAAACTATTTTTTTCATTTTACCAGGTAAAGCCCTCTGAGCTATATAGCTCTTTTTTAGAAGCGACCTGGCCACAAATTATATCTTAATGCAGTGGCTAATCATGTGGAAATGTATAGCAACCAAATACTCGAAGCGCATGTTTATAAATGTGGAGGGAAAAACTGTAGGACCCGGACAAAAATCCACGTGACCACTAGAACGTGCGAACTCAAAATATACA